TGGTTTCCCGGGATTCCCAGCTGCTGGCTAAGTGTGCCTGGACGACTTCGTCCAGCCATGGGGTCCCTGTCTCTTTAAGACTTGCAGATAACACTCTCTTTTCTTTTGTCTCGGGAGTGCTGGTTGCGGGGACCTGCCCACAGGTTTTACTTTTTCGTTTCTCTAATATCCAGTACCCCGTGAACCTTGTATCTGTGCTCCGGGTGCAGATTTCTAGAGCTGGTTGTTTAGCAGTCCTGGGCTTTCACTCCCTCACAGTTCCGACTCCTTTCTTCCTGCTGGGTTCTGGGGTGGGGGAGCATTCGGGTCCCGCCTGGCCACGGCTTGTATCTTACCCCCTTCTTGTGATGTTGAGTTCTCACAGATGTAGATGTCTCCTGGCTGTTGTACTGCATCCACTGGTGTCTCTTTATGGAATAGTTGTATTTATTGTATTTTCATAAATATATATGTTTTGGGTAGATTTCCTCTGAACTACTCATGCCGCCATCTTCCTGTGATCCTCTACTCTGTGTCTTTTGATTGGTGCATTCAGTCCATTTACATTTAAGGTGATTATCGACCGGTATGTACTTACTGCCACTGCAGGCTTTAGATTCGTGTTTACCAAAGGTTCAAGGTTAATTTCCTTAGTATCTAAGTGTCTAACTTAACTCACTTAGTATGCTGTTACAAACACAATCTAAAGGTTCTTTTCTTTTTCTCCTCCTTTTTCTTCCTCTTCCATTCTTTATATATTAGGTATCATATTCTGTATTCTTTGTCTATCCCTTGATTGACTTAGGGGATAGTTAATTTAATTTTGCATTTGCTTAGTAATTAGCTGTTCTACTTTCTTTACTGTGGTTTTATTTCCTCTTGTGACATCTGTTAAACCTTAGGAACACTTCTATCTATAGCAGTCCCTCCAAAATAGACTGTAGAGGTGGTTTGTGGGAGGTAAATTCTGTCAGCTTTTGCTTCTCTGGGAATTGTTTAATCCCTCCTTCAAATTTAAATGATAATCTTGCCGGATAGAGTAATCTTGGTTCCAGCCCTTCTGCTTCATGGCATTAAATACATCATGCCACTCCCTTCTGGCTTGTAAGGTTTCTGCTGAGAAGTCTGATGTTAGCCTGATGGGCTTTCCTTTGTATGTGATTTTATTTCTGTCTCTGGCTGCTTTTAGCAGTCTGTCCTTATCCTTGATCTTTCCCATTGGGAAACTTTCCCAGATTGGGGAAGTTTTCAGCAACTACCTCGTCAAAGACACTTTCTATCCCTTTCTCTTTCTATTCTTCTTCTGGTATCCCTATAATGCGAATATTGTTCTGTTTGGATTGGTCACACCATTCTCTCAATATTCTTTCATTCTTAGAGATCCTTTTTTCTGTGCCTGCCTCAGCTTCTCTCTATTCCTCTTCTCTAGTTTCTATTTCATTTATCATCTCCTCCACCGTATCCAACCTGCTTTTAATATCTTCCATTGTGCTCTTCAGTGATTGGATCTACTATCTGAATTCATTCCTGAGTTCTTGGATATCTTTCTGTACCTCCGTTAGCATGTTGATGATTTTTACTTTGAACTCCCTTTCAGGAAGAGTTGTAAGGTCCATGTCATTTAAATCTCTCTGGGGTTATATTAATTTTACTCTGGACCAGGTTCCTTTGGCATTTCATATTTGCATATGGCGCCCTCTAGTGTCCAGAAGCTCTACTCTGGAGCTGCTCAGCCCCTGAAGCAATGACAGGGGTCTCAGGGGAGCAGTATTGGTGCCTGGGGGGAGGAAAGAGCTGTTCACTGCTTTCCGGCTGCTGTGCCTGTCTCCACTGCCTTAACTAGTGGGCCGAGCACACAGGTATAAGTTTTTGTCCCAGAGCAGCCAGATATGGATCCCTGCTTTCCACAAGCAGCTGGAATCTCAGTCTCTCCAGGAATTCTGCCTGTATTAACTTTCCAACCCAGTAGTCATGCGAACATCATGAAAGCACCATGAAATGTAGGTTTGTGCTCCCAGAGCAGATTTCTGGAGCTAGGTATTCAGAAGTCCCAGGCCTTCCACTCTCTCCCTGCTCCATTTCTCTTCCTCCCACTGGTGAGCTGGGGTGGGGGAAGGGCTTGGGTCCTGCCTGGCCACAGCTTTGGTATGTTACCCTGTTCCGTGAGGTCTGCTCTTTTCTCCAGGTGTGTGCAGTCTGGCACCATCCTCTTTCTTGTTGCTCTCTCAGAATTAGTTGTGCCAACTATATTTTCTAATTGTATCCAGTTTTAGGAGGAAGCCTCTGTCTCTCGTCTCACACTGCCGTCTTTAATCCCGTCTCCCTCTGTTTGTCATTATATTTTATTGACTGTTTTCTTAGCTGTATAAAAGGTTTTTAATTTGATATAGTTCTAGTTATTTCTTTTTGCTTTTGTTCTGTGTGCTTTTGGTGTCATATCCAAAAATCATTGCCAAGACCATGTCAAGGAACTTTTTATGGTTTCAGGTCTTATATTTAAATTATTAATCCATTTCAAGTTAATTTTTATGTATGGTATAATAAAGAGGTCCAATTTCATTATTTTACATATGGATATCCAATTTTCCAGCACTATTTATTGAAGAGACTCTCACCAGTGTTTGTTCTTTACACCTTTGTCAGAGATTAGTTGATTGTATGTGTATTGGGTTTACTTCTGGGCTCTCTGTATCTTCCATTCATCTATATGTTTGTTTTTGTGCTTGCACCATACTATTTTGATTTATCATTGCTTTGTAATATACTTTGAAATCAGTAGGTGTGATGAATCTAGCTTTGTTCTTCTTTCTAAAGATAGTTTTGGCTAGTCATGGTCTTTTGTAGTTCCACATGGTTTTTAGGATTGTTTTTCTATATCTGTGACAAATGCTAGTGGAATTTAGGGAGAGATTGCATTGACTCGGTAGATTGTTAGTATAAACATTTGAACAATATTAATTTTTCCAGTCCATTAACATGGTATATCTTTCCATTTATTTGTGTCTTCAGTTTCTTTCATCAGTGTCTTATATTGTTTAGTGTATAGATCTTTTGCCTGCTTGATTGAACTTACTCCTAGGTATGCTATTGTTTTTGATGTTATAATAAATGTGATTGCTTTCTTAACTTCTCTCAGAGAGGTCATTGTTAGTGTAGAGAAATATAGCTGAATTTTGTGTGTGGTTTTATATCTTGCAAGTTTACTAAAATCATTTATTAGTTCTAATAGTTTTTGGTGGATTCTTCAGAGTTTCTATGTATAAGATCATGTCAAAAGAAACAGACAATTTTACATTCGCTTTCCAATTTGGATGCCTCTTATTTCTTTTCTTGCCTAAATGCTCTGGCTAGCACTATTAGTATTATGTTGAATAGAAGCAGCAAGAGTGGATATCCTTGTTGAGAGCTTTCATCTTGAAAAGATGTTGAATTTTGTCAAATGCTTTTTGTGCATCTTTTGAGATGATCATATGATTTTTATCCTTCATTTTGTTAATATGTTGTATCGCATTTATTGATTCATTGATTATTAATTGTTCTGAAAAAAATTAATTCATTTAAAAAACCCTCATATCCTGGGGCTATATCCCACATGATCATGGTGTATGATCTTTTTAACATGCTGTTGAATTCTGTTTGCTAATATTTTGTTTAGGATTTTTCATCTATGTTCATCAGGGATATTGGCCTATAATTTTCTTTTCTTGTAGTTCATCTGGCTTTGGTGTCAGGGTAATGGTGACTTCATAAAAATGAGATTAGAAGTGTTCCCTCCTCTTCAGTTTTTTGGAAGAGTTTGAGAAGGATTTGTGAAGCCGTATGGTCCTGGATTTTTCTTTCAAAAGACTATTTTAAGGAAACTTTATATGACTGGGAAAAGGGCGTTGTAAAATACACAACATGATATATTTAACATTAGTTATTATCATTATGCTCAGTGATGATAAAGAACATCTCTTTTGTCATATTGAAAATTGTGAACTAAGCACCTTTCTCTTTTTTGTACTTAAAAAAAACTGATGAAAATAGAAAGCCTACATGAGTAGAGTAGACTGTGCCTGTCCCCACAGACCATATCTTGGTGAAAGCGATTTTGATATTTTTGTGGCTATTATATGGCCATTACTCTGGTAGGTTTGTGTCACCCCTAAAGGGATGATTCTGATGTTCCTGTCCCTTGAAGAATTCTGTTTACCATGGAGTGAAAACATAGGAAGATGGAAGCAAATTCAAGGAGCTTAGAAGAGACTCTTAAAATGCACTCAGTGGGAAATAACCTCTTAAGTGGAACTGCCACAGAGAATAAAATTCTGAAGTGTCAGGAAGAAAAATGCATTTTAGTCCATGGGTTATGGCATTAAAAATATTGTTATCATTTCTTCCTTCTAAGAAATACTGTCTTTTATCAAGTTATTTTCTTGAACTTGTTACCTTGAAGAATAGGCAAGAAAATATAAACAATCCAGAATTGTGTTTGACATATATAGTATATCATGTTATAATATACTGGAAACATCATAAATGGCAAAGCAAACTATATTACACATGGCTGTTCTTTTGACCAGAATCAGAATGACCAGTCACTGAGCAAAGCCACAGGGTAAAGGATTGTTCACCTATCACTTTGATTGTCATATGTTAGTAAACTCACCTAGCAAGAGCCTGGTTAAGGACTTGAACAGATGTTGCTACTATCAATAAGAAAATCAGTTTAGAAAGAATAGAAACAGAAGAGAATAAAGTGGGTTGACCTATTAGTCCTTATTTAGGGATGACAATTGGTAAAGTTATATAATAATGCCTTATTGCACATATGACTTTCTGATCTGTTCTTCTATCCATTCTTTCAAATATGTGTTGAAGACATTTCTACAGGGATAAAAACAATTTTTAAACAGACATTTTTACCCTCTGCAAATGTTGGCTGGGCTATACAGAATTTAATATAAATAAGACTTATATTTTTCTGCTGTTATTATGGAAATTTGTAACTAATACACTATTATAATGTTGTTTTCCAGGCTGCCAGAAATTGTCTAGTAAATGATGCAGGAGTTGTGAAAGTATCTGATTTTGGAATGGCCAGGTAAGACTAAGTGTATATGAACATCTTTAATCAATTTTGGATTAAATTATATGAGACGATGACCTTTCCCTTGAAAGTACAGAAGCCTGACTTTTTCTTTGCAGTTTGATTGTGTCAGCTTCTTTCTCAGAAACCTATTTAAAATGAGCCATTTTGAAACTACATCTTTTGTTCCTTTAACAAAATATTAGTAGTACCATAATTTTTGTATTGGGGAGCTAAATGATCTTTCTGCTTCTTAGTATGTTTCTGATATAAGACAAAATAAATTAATTATCTGTAATTTGGAAAATTTCTTAGCTGAATGTATCCATTTTACTGTTAAAATTGTTAACCTTGGCTTTTTCTCAGGTAAACAGAAATTATGATAGTTTAATGTGACTTTAGGTGATATTCATATTAGCTTGTAGAATTAATAAGCATAAAAATCTGCACCAATGAAGCAGAAAGGAAATCTTATTAATTGTTCTGAAAAAAATTAATTCATTTAAAAAACACAGTATACATTGTGATGTTTATAATTCTCTCCACTAGGTGGTAATATAGCCTGTTAAAAACACTACTTTCGTTTCTCCCTGGTGTGGATTAGATTTCTAGAATCTTTTGTTTTCACAGAAATATGTTTAGGGGTAAAATTCTTAGAATACTCAAGTCTGTAGTGTTTTTATTTCCTTAATTTTTGTAATTTTAATAGGGCTTTAGAAAAGACTTAAAAATATGTTTAGTTTGTCCTTTCCCTCCTTCTGTCTATCCATTCATCCATCCATACATCCATAAAAAACCAGTGCCTACTATGTGCCAGACACAGTGTTGGGCTGAAATACAGCAAAGAAGAAGACATACAAGCCCTTACCCACATGCAGGTTATATTCAGGAGAAAGAACTAGAACATCTGAAAACCACAAAGAAGAGAAAGAACAGAGAGATGGACGGAGCAGGAGTCAGCAAACTATGTATGGCCTCTGGGCCACATCTGACCCACCACCTCTTTTTGTGTGGCCTGTGAGCCAACAATGGTTTTCACATTTTTAAAAGGTTGATAGAAAAACTTACAGAACATAAGATGTGAAAATGATCTGAAATTCAGGTGTCAGTGTCCATAAATAAAGTGTTACTGGGACACAGCCTCCATCATTTTCTGGCGTTGGTGTCCACTTTCACACCACAAAGGCAGAGTTCAGTGGTTGTGACAGACTGTGGCCTGAAAAATATAAAATGTTCATTGCTTACCCCTTTGCAGAAAAAGTTTGCAGACCCCTGTGATAGAGATAACTTGGGATGGGTGAGTGCCGACTGATGGCGTGGGGCACACGGAAGGCCTCTTTGAGACTGCATATTTGAATAGAGACCAGAAAAGCAGGAAGTAGCCAAGTAGGTGAAAATCTGAGGATAAAATATTGCAGGTGCAAGAAACAGCAAGTATAACAGCTTGAAATCAGGGACAAGCTTGACCTGCTCAAGTAATCAAAAGAGGGCCAGGGTGGTTGGTCCTTAGCCAAAGTGAGGAGCTGGTCCAAAGGCAGGCAAGGACCAGGTCACACAGGCCGAGTTTTCCTAAGGAAACTCAGCCCCAGGTTGCTTAGAAAACACTGTCAGAAATTGGAACAGGACTGCTGACTGTCAGGACAGTAGTTACCCAGTGTCTCTATTTGCTTTATATGATGATGTTCTCTACCTGACAGGCAGTTTTCCAGTTTCACAAGTTCAGTTTTCATGTTTGGCTTTCAGAAAATCTGTGCTTTTGCATCGGTCCCTCTAAAATACTCATTGTACACAGAATTCAGACTCCTCTGACCAACAAATGAGTGGCTGCTGCCCATGGTGGCCTTGTTACCATCTTTGCCTGTACGACAAAGGGAGTGTGTGACATTATTTGAATATTTTCTCATGAAGCTTTCAGAGATTAACTTTATGTGTTTATTTTATATGGAAACATTCCTCTTGTGAATATATACTGAACACAGTACAGGAAGGGCTGAAGTCTCCATATTTATCACCTCAGTCACAGATCTTCCCTGAGGAGGGCCAAGGTTGCCAGTATGTGTCCTTCCAGAGGGACATAAGTATGCTCCTATAGAAAAATAGTAAAATACTGTTTCGTGTGTGTATGTGTGTGTATAGAAGGGTTGTCATTGTCTCTAAATATATACCCCACCATTTACATATGTCATTTTACAAATTTGCTTTTTTCATTTGCAGTAGTTTTAGGCTACCCTGTGGAGCTGTGGGGGCTAAAAGCATGTGTGCCTCCAAATGCTTTGCACCACTTCCTTTAGAGCAGCTCTGCTTTAGATGTTTACATGTGGGGCCTTTGGGTAAAATTTTATTTAAAAAACAAAATTGCTTACAAAGAAATTGCAAACTATTGTACTGTATTCTGCCTCTATCCCCTTATAAAAAAGAAAATCAAACAAAAATAAAAGCTCCAATACTCATGTCACAGTGCATCCATCTGAAGCCCTTAAATGAAGCTGAGAGGAAGATGGAAATCACCAGGCATGGCCACTGAGGCAAACATTTAGCTTCAACCGGATGCTTGTTGGACTTCAGTCAACTGTGTTTTTGATTCTATGGGGAAAAAAAATTAAAGAACATGTACAAACACAGATCATAACTCAGCGATGTAAGCCTGTGGTGTCTTCCTCTAGGTATGTTCTGGATGATCAGTACACAAGTTCTTCTGGTGCTAAATTTCCCGTAAAGTGGTGTCCACCTGAGGTGTTTAATTACAGCCGCTTTAGCAGCAAATCAGATGTCTGGTCATTTGGTAAGACTCATGGGCCATGTGTCCTCAACTGCTGTGAAGAGGGAATGGGTACATCACTTGGTAATCCTTATCCTTTCCCAGGTGTTTTAATGTGGGAAGTGTTCACTGAAGGCAGAATGCCCTTTGAGAAAAACACCAACTATGAGGTGGTGACCATGATCACTCACGGCCACCGACTCTGCCGGCCCAAGTTGGCATCCGACTATGTATACGAGGTGATGCTGAGATGCTGGCAGGAGGTACAGAACTTTTCATGCTTTCTTTTTGAATCTCCGAAACATTTAGGATCTGGGCTGGGTACATTAATCATGTGTAGTCTTCATAGCCTGCTGAATTGGTGCATGTTTTGTATGTTTTAACACTTGAGGTAGGCAGCCAGCCCTCTCCAGTCAGTTCTGGATAGCAGAAGAAGAATGTGAGGAAGTGGAAAATGCTGACAATTAAGATAACAGATTCAGACTGCTGCCCCACTTCCCAGTGAGAATCCTGTCCCAGTTGCCTGACAGGGATTCAGGGAATAAGCCCAGAGAAGTAGCTCTTCTCTCCACAGACCTCGTGTATTTCCAAAGTGTATTTCCTTTCACCAGAGAGGGTTTCTCTCTCTAAACTTCAGCTTCCCCAGGTCTCTACACTCACAGCCTTTGGAAGGAAATCCCCTGTGTGCTGGAATGTCACTTTGTCAAAGAGATTAGACACCAAAATGACTTCTGAAAGATAATCACAGTAGCTCACATGTCTTGTGTGCTCAGCACTGTACTGAAGGCTTCCGGTTTAGTTCTCAAAACAACCTTTGAGATATAGATAGTTTACTATGACCACTCTGTGGATGAGAATATCAGGGCTCCTCAAGTTAATGCTTGCCCAAGGTCACTCAGCTACAGAGAAGCAGAGGCCTGTTGGACTCCAAAGCCCATGCTCTTGGTCACTTGGTATAATGCCTCCCAAGAGCATTGATTGCAGTAGGCAGAGTCCTTCTGGGCAGGAAGTGATGCTAGAGGGGAGGACAGCATGAACAAAGGTAAGGTGGTGGTATTGAACTTGACAGTGTACACAAGGATGGAGATTGGTCTGATTGAGCAGAGAGCCCATGTGAGGGGTTTTTGTGGGAAATGAGATTGGTCAGCAAGGGAGCAGAGGAGGCGCATGTTACAGAGGACACTACAAATTAGCAAGGCCTGATTTTACAATGGGGATGTGCAAGCAGCGGGGCAGAAACATTAGTTGAGCAGCAGTACATGCAGGACAGATTTGGAAATGCCTGCATATTCCAGTCCCAAAGCAGTGAGTACCTTGTCAAGTGTGCTGTGTTATCTGAGTTTGAGCAGATATTGAGAAACTATTTTTTGGAATGGGTTTTGGAACCTACACCTTCTCTTTGATTTTTAATTGCAGAAACCGGAGGGAAGGCCTTCCTTTGAAGATCTGCTGCACACGATAGATGAACTAGTTGAGTGTGAAGAAACTTTTGGAAGATAACTATTGATGTGACCAGTGGCTTCCAGATTCCAAAGCACAAGGAAGAAATGGCACTTTGTAGCTAACTTTTAATTTATTTACCACATGGACATGTAGATTGTTTTACTTATAAGGTGGAGTCACATAAAGCATGTGCTTCTAGACCAGCCTTAGCTCTGTGACAGAGTCTTCCAGATTATGGAAATGCTGCCTTAGTGATGATGATTGAAAGCACTCACTTTCATCCACAAGTACTTGAGTGCCCACTACGTGCCAGGTACTGTGCCTGGGCCCCAGGGTCTGCCCATTTTAAGTACACATGGCACCAAGTCAGCCACTAGTGCAAGTGGAAGGCCAGGGTCTTTGGGAAGAGGAAGGGTATTACAGCCACATTCCAGCAACCCTTGTCTTCCCTTTGACTTCCACAGAAATCTGGGCCTGAGGAATTGTCTAGAAGGTGGGCTGTGGATGAATCAGGACCCCACCTTGGATAAATGCCCATCTTTTGTTTCGAAGACATCTGTTTTTAAGACTGCTATTAGTATTACATATAAAAATATTTGATTACTGTATATACTGTAAATGTATATAATATATAAAGTTAAATATTTATAAGAAAGGTGTTATTTTTTAATTGAAAATTTCAATTCTGTAATAGATGAACTAACCTCCTTAGGACTAGGGATGTTGCCTTAACAGCTGTCAATTCCTTTTCCCCTGGGGAACCAAGTATTATTGAAGAGATAAAAAGATCTGGACCCTTCTATTGCTAGTGCCTCCTCCTCACTTAGATGGACATGTTTAGGGGTGGCTACCTCATTGAAGTCCCCATCAGGACCTGTGTTTGGACTAAGTGATCCTGGCCCCTGGTGTCCACAGCTAACTGGGAGTTAGGTAGAAAATTGAACTAGGGGCAACCCATCGGTTTCTATGTCTTAAAATGTGCCCCAGGATATAGAAGCAATAAGTGAAGTGCTGGGCCCTGGAGCTGAAGGATTAGGTGATGTTCACAACAAGGGTGGCCCCTCCTAAAGGAAAGCCTAAATCTAGGAGCAAGTGCGAGTTCTCCCGGAGAGACCAAGAAAAATGAAGAGTGTGGTATACTGAGCTGTCTCCCAGGTTTCAGGAGGCCTGGTTGAAGTGGGTTCCTGGATCACCAAGATTGTCTGTTACAGGCAGCCTCACAATAGACCCTGAAGTTGAGTTTGTTTGAGTGGACTTCCATCTCTTACAATCTCGAAGACACCAGCTCAGTTAGAGCCTTCTTTTTTCCTCATGAGTCTGGGGAAAAGAAACACTGTCTCTGCATTAAAAGCAGAGACCATATGTTGCCCCACGCATTGTTTTTGGTTTTGTGGGGGTAGAAAGCAGAGAAAGATGCGTGGAGCCTCCTTCAGGAGTCTCGTCTGCCCGGGGCACGGCGGAGTGTCCTGTGAGTCGCAGAGCCTCATGTGCACATGCAGCTGCTGCTGCTGCCCTGGGCAGTGCCGCCACCACGACTCCGAGACTGAGAACTGCCGCTTCCCTTCTGGCCAGTCCCTCCACCAAAGGCTGCCTTCTGTCCTTCCTTATCACCCTTACAGTGGAAAAAGGTAATTATCCTAAGTCTTGCCAGTCTGTTGGCCACCTTCTTCCTCATCTTCCTGTTTAACTATCTGAGCAACACAAAAACATACACACCTTTTAACTGAATTGTAGCTCATTCAAGGAGTTGGTCATTTTCTACTTAAATCCTACTCTCCTTATACTTTTCTCCGTCCCCCCTCACCTTGACTAGTCCCACCGGTCCTGGCCCCGCGCCATCCTTCCCTTCTCGCCTGGAGGAGCTGTGCTCCAAGTGCTAGTTGGAGAAAGTGAAGAGGCTATAGTCCTTGCACTCACCATTATGTGTATTACTGATGTGAGAAACAAGGTGGATAATACCTGGCAACATTTGGGAATAATTTCTTAAAAAATCTTGAAATATTTCACTAAAACTTGAAAAAAAGTTTTCATCAAAAAGTGTAGCTCAGGCAAGAGGTGAAATAAAAATAGAAGAATCCACCCAGAATGCTTCAAGAGATCTTAATCTGTAAGGCAGGAAATAGGAAGGGCAATGTGAATATGCTGTGTCTTCATTAGAGTTGTTTCCTTTAGTTTTAACTAATTTTGGGTTGTATTTTCCAGTGGGATGTAGAGAAACTCCTAAGTGCATTTCTTGGTGTTGATGTTACTGTTTTTGTATTTCTCAGCCATGCCCCAGTCTCCTTTTAGGTGGATTACTGAATTGACTTTCCCACCCCCCTCAAAAAATAAAGTTTCCTGGTATGATCCTTGAAATGTCAGTACTGAGTAGGAGAACAGAATGTTCTGGACTCTGTACTCCCAAACCTAGAATCTAATCCTGTTTCTCCCACTAATTGTGCCGTTTATCCTATCTGTACCTTCATTTCCTTCTCTGCCCAGAGAAGGAAGTTTGATGTGATGATTTGTTAAAGTCTCCTTTACCAAAATTTTGCGATTTCTTGAAAATGTCTGCTGGGGTCACCCACACAGTTGGGAATGAGGAGCTAGTCGAAACCACCCTCAGAGATCTGGATAAAGATTATCAAGCATTCTTATGTAGGCCAACGGGTTGTCATTCACACACTTCTGAGGTTTTCAGAACAGGAAAATAGGTGGGGTTAACTCTGCCTGTGAGAAACGTCTTGGGTGAGCTATGACTTCAGTTGAAAGATGTGTTTTTGTGACGGGAGTGCCACTGAAGGACTGAAGACTGTTTTGAATACTCCCTGCAGAAGTGCAGCCATGATTCTTTCCACCTGTAAGTAAGATGGATCTGTCGTTTATCTTCGGGACATCCTCTGGGCTTGTTATTCTTGAACACTTGAGGAAATTTTCTCTAAGACATAGGGCCTGTGAAATTTTGAGGATAATCTCCCCATATGTTGTGACAGGATTTTGTTATTTAAATAACCTTGGTGGTGATGTAATTTTAGTAAATGTTCAGCACCGAGAGTGCAAAAGAAAACAAAACAAAAATAGTACCCTTAAATCTATATGTGTGTGTAGAAACACAGTTTGAAAATTGTTTTGTGTTTAGGATGATATTTAGCATAAAGAACTCAAGGCTGGAGGCTAGAAGACCAAGTTCAAGTTATGGATTTGCTGCAGCCTTGGTGGGTCACCTCTGGCAACTTCTTTATATCAAGTTTGCACCTGTAAAATGGGGGCTCTCTTTTTGTCCACCTTCCAAGATATAATAAAGAGACAAAAATGGCAGGTCCTTCATAAACTTAATTTTGGAGTTGCTTTGGAAGACCATTCAGTATGTGCAATTATGCAGTTATTGGAAATGATTATTAATTTAGCTCTCTGATTCAGAGGGCTCTATCATGCCTTATTAAAAAAAATGATGTCTTTCATTTTAATTCTGGATGACTGTGGAACGAAGCTTTAACAAAGTTCAGTCATATCAGATTGAAGCCATCAAAGGCCAGCTCACAAAATTTTTACATTTTAAAGTGGTAATAGGAAAAATTGACTGCAGTTTTTAAATGTCATCTGTTTAAGCCATATCACTTTATAGGACCCAACACTTGGTAAACCAGGCTACTCCAATTGTACTGACTGGAATATAGCTTATGGTCCTGGTCACTCAGAGATGCCAAAGGGCCTGCCTGTTACCAGAAACACAGGCCAAACAGAGCGCAGTGGGGAGCTCAAAAGCAGCAGCCTGTATCTGCACCTCCCCTGCTGGGAGGACAAAGATGAGCAGTGCCTTGATAACCTTTTCATTAAAAGCTCTGTGAGCATCTGTTCTTCATTCCTCCTGAGGTCAGAACTAGAGAAAAGGCTGCAAACTTTAACGGGAAAGATTAAAATAAATAACCATGAGATTGAGACAAGGATTAGATAGCTCAAGCGATTAAATAAAAGACCACCTGTTTTGAGGGCTATTTTGAGGCTCATTCTGTCTGGGATGGAAAGGCATGGATTTGATGAACTCTCCCTATCCTTTCCACTTCTGATAACTTGATTCGGTGGTAAGAATCACCTGTTTGTTTCTGCCTTAAATTACACCTGGACGCAGCTCAGTTTCCTTCTGGGTAAAACAATGAGTGTTTGCTGTTGGCAAGAGAAAGCCAAGCGATGCCTCAAGGTGAACTATTGCTGATCAAAAACACTTGCATGTGTTTGTCAGGCCAGAGCCATTTGCCAGAGATACTTTTTGTTTTAAGAGCTGTCACAGAATGTGACCTTACAGGCTGCTCGGAGGGCAGGAGGAGGTAATTGTGGAAGGTGAAATACTGATCAAACTGCATGATGGGGAGAGCTGAGTGAGGTGCCAGGGCACTGCTCCAGTGAGGTTCAGTGTGCAAAACAGAATTGATACCGCCAGCGTTTCTCCAACTGGCAGTGGCACTGAGAACAGACCCAGCCCAGGAGTGTTACCTAGAAGACAGGGACCTCGGAGAAGAGCTGGAGGCTCAAAAAGTTCACCACTTACCTCCCCACCTTTTCTCTGCCTATCTTTTCTTCCCAATTTATAAAGTAGAAGGAAAGAAAATAAGTCCTATGAGCAGTTCTTAAGTCTTAGTTTGCTATTACAATGAAGGTTCCTGGACTCATCTCCTCAATGTGATCTGGGGGTGATGTATGGACCTCATGATCACTGCTTTCTAGTGTTTTGAAAGCCCTCTTATTCCTTACTAGATTCTCACACCAACCCTGCTAAGTTAGTATCTCCCTATATTCTTTACTCTGAAGATGAAGAGGGTAGCAGCATAGGCCATCTCGAAGGTGGTGACGTTGCCTCCTGGTATTCACACCCCTGTGCAGTCCCTCTTGAGCACTCATTGGACCTAGTGAATCACTTCTTGTGAACAGAATATGGCAACAGTGGTGGAGCGCGACCTCTGTGATCGGGCTTCTGTGTTAGCGCTCTGGGGCTCTGCCTCTGGGACAGCCAGCAGCCGTGCTGCGACCATTCATTCTTGGGCAACGTGTGGAGAACCCCCTTCATGCCACCAAGGCCTTCTGACAGCCCCGTGAGTGAGCTGAGAAGTGGTTTCTCCAGCTGAGCCAAGTCAGCCTGACTGCAATTTCATGAGCTTCATGAACTTTTCAACCTTGACCTGGAGGCCTCTAGCTAAGCTGTGTCTGGACTCCTGATTCACAGAATCTGTGAGATAACAAATGGTTTAAGCTTCTAAGTTTGGAGACAATTTGTTTCCAATAATAAATAAATAATTCAGTAGTAAAAGCAGGAGGAGCCATGGATCAAAACAAACTTGGTCACTTTTCCCACCAATTTGCCTCAGGCTGCAGTTGGTACCCTGTATCAAAAATTAGAAAATTTCTCACTATTAATATGGACACTAGTATATGTGTCTTTTGTGTTTAACTCATTTCTTCTGTCTGTCTGCAACTGTCTAAAGCCTGTAATAACAATGAGACCTGCAGCCATTGTGTGTCACTCTGTGAGGCTTCTGTGCCAGCCCACCTGGCCACCATCATCGGCCCACTTCCTACGCACTGTGGGTCAGTGGGCACAGCGTCCAGCACCGTGTTGGCCACGTGGCCGGGCACTGCACATCACAATCTGGCCAGAAATCCCGGGGATGGTATCTGTGAGCTCGTCATGAACTTTGAACTCACAGACACCGGTCTTCTGGGAAATACTGCTCTGAGACCTGGCGTCGAGGAGGAGCTGTGTGAAGATGACTGCGGAGTCCACCTCACATTTGCTCATTCCTGGGAGGAAACCAATATTCCTGCATGGAGTGAACAAGGGCTTCAGGGTGCTGGGCCTCGTGGGGTGGGGGTGTGCCTTGGCTGGGGCTGTGAACAGGTGAGCAGCCTTCAGGGAGACCCAGCGTTTCCTATACTCCCCAGCACACTCGCTCGGCTGGTGCCCAGCACCCCGCCATCTCCCAGGGCTTCTCGTCTCCCAGCTGCTCCCTCACACACGGCACCACTTCAGGCCCCAGCCAGGCCAAGCACTGTTCTGTTCTTCCACCTCAGTTCATCAGTTTATAGTCTCACGGGCTAGATGCCTATTTTCTGTTAGTAACCTACCAATCCTCTAAGGTACTTATTCCTCTTACTTTAAAGTTGCACAGACAAGAATGTCAAAAAAGCAGTTTGGGATCTAACATAGGGTTGTTAACTCATTTTGTCAGTGCATTAAGAAAGACTAACATCTCTGGTAACCATTTCTTCGAAGCATGGACATTTTAATATCAAAAGGAAATACAGGAATGTCCTAATAACAAAAGGAGGCACACACACCAAAAGAAGGATAATTTAACACCTCAGATATACAAAGAGCACAAACTCAGAATAGCTTTCTAAATGAATAAATGAAAAACTCAGTGTTTTATCCTTCCTTTCTGCCCTCCCTCCTGTGTTCCCTCCCTTCTTCCCTTCTCCCTTCCTTCCTTCTTTTTTCTTTTGTCTCTCATGGTGTGGGGTCTCAGTTTGGCACCTGGAAAGTCTTTTCTGATACCTAATCAGAGGTAAAAATCCATGCTAAAGAAAAGCTATGTGTCACGCCTCCCAGATAACATGGGTTAAGTCAATTAAAATGTGTCTGCCTTCTAAAGGCCCTTAGGAAATAGATCTAGTGGTGGGAATTTATGACAGTCATGAGGGTTTGGCTTTCCTGTAAATTTCTGGAGCAAGATAAGGCATATCTTATAGTGACCTTGGAGGATCAGTTCTAATCACCAGAGCCATTTTTTCCAAAACCCCAGTGGTTAGGGGTTTCCCACTCTCCAAGCTCTTTCGCTGCAAATGTAGCTGGCACCAGCATTCTTCATCTTCAAACCATAACCAGGAATGCATGGGCTGGACAACAAGACTGGTCTTTGGTTCAAGGCAGCTATTGAAACTGAACCAATTATTCATGTTTTCAAATAAAAATTACCAGCTATCTGCCAGTTGTTATGGCCAAATTCAGTAGGAGTGAATTTCACTTGAGGCACTGATTCAAAACGAAACTCAGACATCGGATATGCCAGGCCATGAACACAAGGTTACATTGATGTAAACTTCAAAACATTAAAGACAGAGGGAATGTCACCAGCTTTGCTTCTCAGACAGCACTGGCCCCCCAACAGCTCTTCATCTGTTTAATTGTTGGGCTGAAAGTGGGCTTAGGAGCTGTTCTGAGAAGTCATTCTTCTCACATTCGCTTCCTTCCAGTGCCCCCTGGTGGAAACCTGCTCCCAAACAGAGCTCTGTTGTCACCACCTACACTCCTCTGGATGTGGAAGGAAGCCTAACTGGGGCCTCCTTGCAGATGGGGAGAAGGGAGAGAAAGCATCTCCAGGAAAGAACACAAAAACCAAATAAAATGAAAGGTTCAACTGCTTTACCCACGAGAGATGTGCTGGTTCCTAAAGGTCACGGAGATTACTTCGGGATGCAATGCCCTTTTCCTGATGTTGCTGGTACATGATATATAATTAAAGATATTTGCTGGGGAATAAGATACAGATGAAAAGAACAGTGTAGATGTAAGCCCAGGAGAGGAAGCTCCAGCTCCTTTCTGTGATAATCCTCAAGTCTGAATATATCCTCCCCTCAAGCAAATAGTCATCACCCATCTCTGGGGAATTTTAGTCTCTCTGGCAAACCTGGTTGATATGCATGAATTTCTGCCTAAGTTGGGAATTTTCCAAAGGCACAAAAAAAGCTTTCTCTCTGGAGGTTGATGGGCACAATAAAGATGGTTTCTGTAATCACAGTATGCAATAGGAAGTGACTCTCCATTTGTCACTCACCTGGAAGATCTGTAAATTGAAATAGACCATGAAT